GTCCCAATGGAATTTCCCATTGGGACCCTACTAGCACTAAGATGCTAACTGGTTAGCAAGATGCTTCCGAGAAACCGGCCACAACCAAACTTGCTTGTGAACCTTCCGCCACAACAATCCCGCCCTCTTGATAATTGACCAATCACATTAACTTTATTCAGTCGTGTACCACTCGGGAGAATTCGGAAATGCAACGGTAGGAACAGCCGCTTCCCTATGACTTAAGATATTAGAGGGATCTTTTAAAAAATACTGTGAATTAGCGCTAAAAAGGGACTTAAGTTTTGTTAAATCTGAACTACGTCATGCTGAAGTTACATTTAGTCACCAAAGAGTTAAAGTTCAGTGAGAATAAGTGTTCAGTAGAGAAGCTGCTGTTTGACAACATGTCTCAGATCAGCCTGTTAAATTCTAATCTGCATCTTCTCCTTGCCCAGAGATTGTCCCCGGAGTGCTTCTGTTTGACCTCATGTGGGATTCCAGCTCTGTTGAAGCTGAGGGGATTTTTCACTCCTCCTCGCTGCTCAGAGGATTGATGTCTGGAAATGTGACTGAACGCTGCTATACCACATTCATCCAGCAGGAGGAGCTCTACCTGCACAGAGTTGCAAGCACCCTTGAGGTCAGAGGTCACCACTGTTATGCTGTTGTATGTTCTTGCATTCTAAGTCTAAGTTCTCAATATGTATACTTGTGCGTTCTCGTGTGCTAGTGAAATGTCATCAGCCCTAGTACTGTTCCAATTCACAAGAACAGAAGACGGAGAACGGACAAAGTCCCTGGATGTTGTTACGCCCCTCTCTCTTTAGCGAGCATCCATCAGAGCAGAGTTGTCCGTTCTCCTCCTGTGTTTTGGAGTTTCCTTATAGCTTCAGTTAAACAGCTTAGACCAGAGGTCACGGATTAGCGGACCTGATTTTTAATTGGTTACCCCTGGCTTAGACTGTGGTCCAGATAAGGAAACTCTGCCAGAGTCTAATACAGGTTTTTGTGTATGGAAGAAAAACAGTCTCATTGGAATCT